AGTCCAGCGGAGCCTGAGCGGTGGGTGTTGCCTTCTGACACACTTCCGGTGATGTCAGGGGGTGTGGCCTATGCAAATGAGTTATGCAAATGAGTTGTGCAAATGAGCTCCTGCACCTCTTTTTCTACGAAATGACCCCTGGGTATCTGAAGAAGTGAACAGTGAGTCACGAAAGCTCCTCCCCTGCCACAAATCTTGTGGGTCTTTAGGGGGGCGACCGGACTCTTGCTCTTTTCTACCGCTTTCTAGGAGGGGACGGGAGACAGGCGGTGTCGCCACAGCTTTGCACCCCCACCATCCTTGATGCCCCCCTCCCAAACCGTGCCGGGGAACCACGGGTCCCAAACCAAGGGGCCGCAGGCTAGGCGGAAACCCCGCCCGAGGAACGTCCCCCCTACCCATTCCTCAGAAGTCAGCGGCGTTTTCAGGAGAGGTGTCATCTGCTCCGGAGGCATAGTGGAGAGCAACCCCGAAATCTAAGAGGGAGACCACAAGTTTAGCTGTTTGGGGAAAGAGAAAAAAACAACACCCAGACGATTAACATAATTGGGAGATGGCCACCTAGTAGAAGGTCGTGGAGACATCTGCATCATTTGGGGGGAGATCCCTTCCTGCATCTCCACATCTCTCCGCTCTTAAGTGATGCTCTGTCTTCTTGGAGGTTGGGGGGGGCAACAGTGGGAGGGCTCCTAGTGTCCTGGCCCCACTGCTGGACCTCATGATGGCACCTGGTAGTTTTGGCCACTGTGTGACACAGACTGTGGGACTGGATGGGCCACTGGCCTCATCCGGCATGGCTTCTCTTATGTTCTTGTGTCTGGGGCAGGGATGCTCTGTATTCTTGGTGCTTGGGGCGGGGGCACAGTGGGAGGGCTTCTGGAGTTCTGGCCCCACTGATGGACCTCCTGATGGACTCTGGTATTTTTGGCCACTGTGTGACACAGAGTGTTGGACTAGCTGGGCCATTGGCCTGATCCAACACTGGCTTCTCTTCTGTTCTTATACGGAGCAGAGGTCCGTCAGTGGCTATTAGCCACAAGGTATAGATAGGAACTCACAGGCTGGGGCAGGTGATGCTCTGTATTCTTGGTGCTTTGGGGGGGGGCAACAGTGGGGGGGCTTCTGGTGTTCTGGTCCCACTGTTGGACCTCCTGATGGCCCGATATTTTTGGCCACTGTGTGACACAGAGTGTTGAACTGGATGGGCCACTGGCCTGATCCAATACTGGCTTCTCTTCTGTTCTTATATGAAGCAGAAGTCCATCAGTGGCTATTAGCCACAAGGCATAGATAGGAACTCTTGGTGTGACACAGAGTGTTGGACTGGATGGGCCACTGGCCTGATCCAACATTGGCGGGGAGCTGTTCCTGGGGGCAGCAGAGGAGAGGCCTCACAAGAATGGATTTCAATTAAGGGCTGGAACTTAAGGAAAACATTTTTATACTATAAGAGTAGTTTAGCAGTGGAATCGGCTGCCGAGGGAGGTGGTCTAACTGGCAATCTTTCTGCAATGGCTGGACAAACACTTGTCAGGTTTGCTCTAGGCTGGTCCTGCACGGAGCAGGGGGCTGGACTAGATCTCCTTCCCACTCTATGATTCGATGATTCCCGGCATACAGGAAGCTCCTTTAGACAACCCAGTTGGGCCACCCTTGCCTAGAAAGGGATCTGTCAAATCCTGTATTATCCCCACACGGGATTATCCGCCCCCTCTAAACCCTCCCCAACAAGAGGCTAAAATGTTCCAGCCCTCCTGGGGCGTGCCCACGTCGGGTCGGCCCTCTCAGCGTCCCACCATCTGCTCCCACCTTGGCTTCTATGTCGGCCATGAGCTGCGGAACGGGGCAGCTCGGATCCGCTTCCGGCATCCCCAAGGCCCGGCAGATCCCCTGCAGCTCGCGCACGGCTTCCTGGGATCGATTCTTCCGTTCTGGCGAAGGGGGGCTCTTGCGGGCTTGGAGCCGGGCTGCCAGGAGCTCAGAGCTCAAGAAATCTTGAGAGAGACAGAGAGATGGCAGCCACATTTTTAGTCTGACAAAAACCGGAGGAAAAAGGGGCGGGGGAAACTCAACCCAAAATGTAACTGCAATCTAAGAGGGTCAAGCTAGCAATATGTGTGTGTGTGTGTATATCTATATCTATACCTATCTATATCTATATACACACACACACACACACACACACACACACACACACACACACACACACACACACACACATATATATATATACAGATATACACAACACACACACACACACACACACACACATAAATATTTATTAAGATGTACACATAAATGAAACATAAAGGTAAAGGTTCCCTTGCTCGAAAGCCAGTCGAATCCGACTCTAGGGTTGCGGTGCTCATCTCCGTTTCAAAGCCAAAGAGCCAGCGCTGTCCGAAGACGTCTCCGTGGTCACGTGGCCGGCATGACTAAACCCCAAGGCACACGGGACGCTGTTCCCTTCCCACCGAAGTGGTACCTATTGATCTACTTGCAATTTCTTGCTTTCGAACTGCTAGGTTGGCGGGAGCTAGAACTAGAGATGGGAGCTCACTCCATCATGCGGCACCCGGGTCTCGAACTGCTGAACTACTGACCTTCCACAGCCTGCAGTTCAGCGTCTTAACCACTTGAGCCACCGCAGCTCCAAATGAAACATACATAAGGTTAAAAGAAATAGTCTAAATATCAGACTCTTAAAGCTTATTTCATTCAGAACTGATTGTTGTACCCAGGGGTCATTTAGTAGAAAAAGAGGTACAGGAGCTCATTAGCATAACCATTAGCATAACATTTGCATATGCCACACCCCCTGACATCACCGGAAGTGTGTCAGAAGGCGACACCCACCACTCAGGCTCCACTGGACTGTTTTGGATTGCTGGCTATTGGGGGGGACGGACGTGCAGATCTGCCCGTGCAGAGGAGGGAGAGCTTGGACCTGAATAAAAGTTGGTCTTAAAGGTGCCACTGGACTGTTTTAGACTGGGGGCGGGGCGGGGCAGGGGGGACTCTGCAACTTACCTGGCTGCTTC